GTCTGCTATTGGAAATTTAGCCAAATACGTGTGTACTCTATTGTACAATATACTATTGAACTATGATCTTCGTGCACCACTTTTTTATTTGTTCAGCGAAAAAGAAATAAGAAAAGCCCCAAAAACAAACCAATATATATAATACCCAAAGGCATTTTTTGTCCATGTCATCATATCTGCACCGTTCGTTCGATTTTCGAAAATTAGGTGTGAAATGAAAGAGCTTGGGCCGTTGATGCTAGGACTTACCGTTAATTTTTGCAGTTTATGTTCGGAAATTTTTTTTTATTTGAAAAAATTGCGGAGCACCGTCAATTTAAAAAATGCCAAAAATGAACGGTAAGTCCAAGATACTTAAAATTTGCAATTGGTTGCTAAAATTTGATGTGCTACAAAACTGGATTCCAAAATTTTGTCTATAGATGCTGATCAAGAAGTTTGGTCAAACTTTGCAGATTTTTCATAATTTTTGCACAAAGTTTGAAATTTGGTTTTATATCGTGTGTGTTAAGTAACCAGTTATACTTTCATAAAAAACAATATAACATTAAATAAAACAAAGAAAAATAGCCAAATCTTACTAAAAGGTCTAGCCCTAGTTTTTATTTGGTTCACTGTATGTGTATCTCGGTAACCGATTTATAAATTTGTACCAAACTCAGTGCAATTATTGACCTTGGCACAAAAAGCTATATGTTGAAAATTTTCGAAATCGGTCTAAAATTACGCCCACTTTCGATTTCTAAAAAACAACGCGTAAAAAAGTTTTAAAACGTATGGTGCTTTGCTTTAAAATGTTGTACCACGTTGGATGTTGTATTCTAGCACCTAAAGGAACGTGTACTAAAAATTTCAGACATGTGCTCACGGTTTAAAAAAAAATATTTTTTTTTCACACAAAAATTCGAAGTTTGTGAGAATTGCCCAAATACGTTCTTTCAGTAAAAATGTTTTTATGATCTTAATTTATTATGGTTTATGCAATTCCGTTTTTGTATGTATTAAAACAGAGCATCAACTAAATTTTCCTCTGCAATTGAACGAGATTATAAGTGTAAAGATGATTGGAATAAAAAACGAGAGTTTGACTAAACTTTTGCAAAGGGTCCCCGTTTGAGGCCAAGCAATTGTGGCAGCCCTATACTTACGGTGACCATCCGTCCTGTATTATACGGGACAGTCCTCTTTTTTGACCAATTGTGCTGGCAATTAATTTATTTTATACGGGACGCCAAATGTTCTGTATTTCTTTTAATGTCCTGTATTTGTCCCGTTTTCGGGTTTCGGTATTTCGACGCCTTAAAGGCTCATTAAAATGACATGCCTATGAAGCAGTCTGAATGCCTGTGTTTCGAATCGAGGAGCACAAACAGTGACTAAAATATAAATTAGGATTCTACAATTTAGCAAGATTCGGCTATATTTCTTTTGTTTATTTAATGTTTATTATTTTATTTTTAAGTAAACTCTTTTCCTAACCAAAAAACATATAAATCAAAATTTCCGACTTTGTGCAAAAACTATGAGAAGTAATTCTGCAAATTTTCACCAAAATTTCAAACTTTTTAATCAGAACCTTTAGAAAAAAATTTGGTTGCAGATTTGTAGCTCATTAAAATTTAGTTTAATAAAGTTCAAGTGAAACGTGCTGCTAATTTTCTTCCCTATCAGCTACTTAAAGCTTGCACTTTATCGTACTAGAGTTTAACGAAGCTTTTGTAAACAATTTTTTGGAGTAAAAATCTCGAGAAAAGAAATCCTACAAATTTGTGATGCTACTATAAGGATGCTGTTTCAGGGCTAACACATACATCTAAGATCATTTAAGAAGGTGTTAAGAACTGTTAGCTTTTATGGGAAAAATTTGCAAAATTATTGTTTGTCCCGTTTTCTGCTCGCATAAATATTTAAAGTTATTTTTTGACTTTTTTATTTGAGCAAATAATACCGGGTAATTTTGCTTTTTATTTTTTTAAGGCAAAAATAAAAGTTAAGATTTGCCTTTTATTTTTTTGATTCTTCTCCTTCTGATTTGGATTCTAATAACTCCTCACACAAATACCAGGGTTAGCTCCAATCTAAATATGTATGTATGTACTATGTATAAATACAATACATGAAGGCATTTTTTGTTAACGGCATCAGATCTGCACCGATTGTTCGATTTTCAAAACTGAGGTTCCAAATTAAAGGGCTTGGCCTCCAAATGTACAACAAGGTATGATATATTTGAAAAGGGTTGCCACCTTTTCTAAAGTTATAAAACCAGCACTGCTCGGTGTATTAAACAAAATTAGGTGTAAAATAAAAGGTCAGGGCCTCTAGAAGTGCAAGAAAGTTTAAGTTTTTTGTATAGGGTTGCCACCCGCTTAAACAACGCAAGACTTACAACGTTCGCGCAATTTTAAAAAATAATATAATATGTCATATAAACGGGCTTAGTCTGTAGATCTACAAGGAAGAGCGTATTAGTTTTTTAAAGGGTTGCCAGCTGTTAAAAATGATTACTTTTTTGTGCAGAGCACCGTTCTCTCGATTTTAAAATGAGGTGCCAAATGAAAGGTATTCACCTAGATATGTGCTTTGGGTTTAATTTTTTATTTAAACGTCTGCCGCCTAATTATAAATCTATTATTTGAAATATGATACTCAGTAAAATATCGCAATATGGGCATCAAGCGAAAGGGTTTTTATACTAAATTAATATGTTCGTGCATTTAAGAGTTGCCACCTATTAAAAAATATATAGCTATGAACGGTAAATAACGTATTAAGGCCATTCGATATTGGTATCAATCGACAGCTAGTTAAATGGCTTTTGTGTAAATGTATGCCAATTTTCGGTGGCCTCTGTAGCGTAGTGGTAAGCAGTGTGCGCTTCCACTCCGCAGCGCCTGGGTTCAAGCCCTGGCCAAAGCAACATCGCAAAAAATTTAGAAAAAAGGTTTTTTCTTAACAGCGGTCGCCCTTCGGCAGGCAATGGCAAACCTCCGAGTGTATTTCTGCTATGTAAAACAGCTTCTCATTAAAATACAATCGCCGTTCGGAGTCGGCGTAAAACTGTAGGTCCCTCCTCTTTGTGTGACAACATCAAGGCGCACGCCACAAATCAGAGGAGAGGAGAGGCCAAAACTAACATATGTGTAAGCGCCAATTTATTATTATTATTATGCGTATTTTCGAGAGTTGTCATCTAGTTAATATTGCTTTCGATTGATAGCAATATCGAATGCTCTTGATACATTACTTACCATTCATAGTTATCAATGTGTTTAATAAGTAGCAAATCTATTAAAAACACCAGCATATTAAATTAATCTCAAACCCATATTGTGATATTTTACTATCATATTTTAAACAATGAAGTTGTAATTAGGCGTCGACCCTTCAAATAAACCAAAGCACGTCTATAGGTCAATCCCTTTCATTTGATACCTTATTTTGAAACTCTAGAGAACGGTGTAAATCTAATGCTCTGCACAAAAAAACAGTGTAACAAGTGGCAACCCTTTTTAATAAAATAAGAGGTTCTTCCTTTCAGACCTATTTATATGGCTTATTATATAATTTTTTGAATTGCGCGAACAGTGTAAGTCTTATGTTTTTTAAGCAAGTGGCAACCCTATTCAAAAAAATTAAACCTTCTTGCCCAGCCCGCTCATTCGACACCTAATTTGTTTAATGCAACTAACGGTGCAGATTTTATAATTTAAAAAAAGGGGGCAACCCTTTCCAAAAAAGTTATACCTTGCTGTACATTTAAAGGCCAAGGACTTTAATTTGGAACCTCAGTTTTGAAAGTCGAATAATCGGTGCAGATCTGATTCCGTTAACAAAAAATGCCTTCATGTATTGTATTTATACATAGTACATACATATTTAGATTTGATCTAACCCTGGTATTTGTGTATTAGGGAGTTATTAGAATCCAGAAGGGAGCTTTAAAACTATTATATTCGAGTATACACAATTCTGGAATACTTGGTTTGTAACTTTGACTTTTATTTTTGCCTGAAAAAATAAAAGGCAACAATTACCGATTATTTTCTGCTCAAAAAAATAAAAGGCAAATCTTAACTTTTATTTTTGCCTTAAAAAAATAAAAAGCAGATATAATCGGTATTATTTGCTCAAAATAATAAAAGCCAGATTTTTAAAAGTCATGGAGGAATCACAATTTACAATGTGAGATGAGTCTAATGGTACCTTTGAAAAAACTATAACTAGCATAATTTTTCACTATATTTTAACTTTTATTTTCAGTCTCTGTAAAAACAAACAAAACGAAAACATTTCCAAGAAAAAAGGAAAACACAGATATACTTATTATCACTAAATAAAGCATTACTAAGCCATTTATTATTCGATTTTAATTTACTTATGACTATTGGAAAACTGATTTTGATGTGCTTTTTTATAAAGATCAAATACTTTTCTATTGCCTCACGATCAAATAAGAGCGTGAAGGAAATGAAAATTTGTCGAAAAATTTACGTTTTTTTAATTAAAAGACAAATACTTAGCCTTTCTCCGGACAATTTTAAACTTTTTTCTTTGTTAGAAAGGTAAAACGCGTATCTTTCAAACAGAGAAGACAATTCGAGCAAAAAACAACAAAGTTATAATTTCTTGAAGTTGTAATTTGAAGAATACCAAAGTTTTATTATGTTTGTTATGCTGGATTTCCACTAGGCATTAAATGGCAAGAATTATAAATGACGAATTCGGGCATTAAAAAATAATCGTGTCATTACATTAAAAAATAGTCATTAAGCTCATTTCCACATGGCATTTTCTGAAATGGCATACACTTTTTGTCATTTCAATGCCTAGTGGAAATTCGGCATTAGAAAAAAAAGTAATAAACGAAGTGATGGAGGAAAACTATAAGTACAGTCGTATCCTATGAGCTATAGCAAAACATAATTTTTATATGAGGACCTCTGCATATTTTTTTGTTTACTTTTGTATCACTGTATAATTGTAAATTAAAATTTCAGCGTCACCATACACTATTTGGTACAGTGTGGTCATCCTTCCGGCGACATGGTAACAGCTTTAGATACGATCGCAAAAACCAGAATTCACAATTAAATGGAAATATTGGTGGCGCTGAATCGACACCTCCTGTGGCTGACTCTTCTGAAGCAAATACCATGTATTCTGCCAATCGTTGCAGTGTAGCTGATAGTATAAATCATATTACAAAAAGTATCATGCAAGCACGTTTCGGTTCGCAGCCAACCGAAGGTGGCGGTAGTAATAGCCCTGATTACCATGATTTTAATATCCGCGGCGACATGCGAACGTTTAGTGAAAGCATATCGATGCGTCCACTTGTCATGAATAGTGGTAATGATGGCAGCACCGTTATAACTCCCTCTTCAGGCCGTATTTCCATACAAGGCAGTCAAATAGCAGGTGCAGAAGTTTACGAGTGAGTACAAAAGAGCATGGACTGTTGTTCATACTACTACACATACATACATATATATGGATCTGTGTGCACATAGCACATACTACTAACGTATTCACGAACTGGAGTCCTGTACACACTTGACATGCGCTATTGATCATAAACGCGACGGCCCACAAATTGTGATAACTTAATTTTAAGCATTTTAGGTTCTAAGTAGGTATGTAGGCAAAAGTTGACGGAAAATAGTTTTATTAACGGTATTTACACATAGCGAGATTTGATTCGACCCTTCTCTGAAAAAAAACTCATTAATTAGCAATCAACCCTCCTAGTTCAATAGTATCAAGTTTTTGTGCAAACATTAGATGATTTCAAAATAACCCAGTACAATTAAACATATTAATGTAACTGTCAAGAGAAGAAGAATTCACTGCATACATACATACATACATAAGATTAAGTGCGTCACTGGTGCCAGACTCATGTAGTCTAATA